CTGCTGTCAGAATTATTCGAAATGACTAAAGTAAATGATAAGATTGAATTAAATAATAAGACCAGATGGAAGGAAAAGATTGAAATACCGTAGATCTATAAAATGACCAAAATACCCCTGTAATGAAAATGACCCAAGATTATCATCAAGCTCAGAAATGATTGGATATCCTCGAGCTCTGAAATAAATGGAATAAAACTGAATACCAAAATTTACAAAATAACCTTATGGCCTATACTAAGTAAATGTCTTGGATTAATTAAGGAATCCAAGTAAGTATAGGTATTGGACTACCTTTAAAGGTAATGGAAAATAATTTAAGTGAGTAGATCAACCCTAAAGCTATGTCAATTCCTGAATTGCATAGATATTACTGGAACATGTGTTCATCTTCTAAAGTTTGGCTCGATGATAAATTTTGGAAGTATTCAACTCAACTCTAGATCGTATTCAGTACTAAGAATTGGACGTTTGTTCGACAAATCAACCACGAAGACCAAATTGAATGGAATGGAAGTACAACATGTATCTGAAATTCAAGAACGTTTGAATTACTCTGGAAAATCCTGAAGTAACTGGAATGGAGATGACTGCTAAATAAATAGGTAACCTCAATGACTGTGGATTTAGTAAGTGATTTGGATAAGTCTGGAAACTCTGATGAGTTTACGTAGTGTACAATTACAATGGGTTATGAATAAATTAATCAAGTACGTCAGCATTTCATGATATTGTGGAAGTGTGGAAATGAAATAAAGACATTGGAAGATTTATTCAACGATGATTTTGAAAATGGTCTATGGACAAGAATTGTGGTATTAAAGAGTAAATACCCTGGAAGAACAATGAATTGACCAATCGACAGGCATTAGTTCTGGGAACTATTCATCTAAGAGTTGTTTGATAATCCGATCAATCGACATAGAATATAAATGTCCTGAACCTTCATTTCTTCCTTATCAGCTCAAGTCACATTCTGAATAACTGATGATTCTGTCAGTCATTGAACTCTTTCAATAGTGATTCTGAATTCTGATATTCTATCGGTATACTGAAGATCTGTATTCCTCTACTTGTTAAGATTATCCAATATCTTTGAATACTATCTGTAAATTCTGGTGTGTTCCCTACTCATATGAATATTTTATCTGATTTTCGATTTGAATTCTGATCTGATACTTGACATGGATTCTGATCTGATATCTGACATAGATTCTGATCTGATACTTGACTTGGATTCTGATCTGATACTTGACCTGGAGTTTGATATGATACTTGACCTGATTTATGTTTTGATTTTTGATATATCCTTTTACGTACGGACATATTTACTTGGGGGTAATGTTGGAGGAAGTATACCTGGAGGCTCCTCGGCTGTGTGCTCAGGGCCTTATTTACCGGTTCCTCGGCTGTGTGCTCAGGGCCTACTGGACTTGATGGTGGGTGTATGGTTCTGGGGAACCTACACAATTTGGACTTGTTGGATGGGGGTATATATATATATTTATATGTTTTAAAAGATCAGTATCTTTTTACTGGTTTTATGGGAACATGCTAGATAACCTATTCTGATCTCCTGAACTCAGTCATCCGAAATATTTCTCTGAACTGAAAGCTCATTATCCGTTACCACCTGAAATATCAGTAGGATCTCTGCTCATCATAAAAATCTGTAAATGTTCGGAAACAATAAGGAAATATATATTTATCTCTATCTGCACGTTCATCAGCATCATTTGGTAGTTCTGTATTACTGAGCTTTCCAAAGCTCACTCTATTACTCACCTTTTCAGGTTAAAAGAATTGTACCAGTGCATCTATCGACTTCAGTAAGGGAGTTCGTCTGGCGTTGTTGCAGAGTATGGTATATGTGATTAGGGGGCATGTAATTGTATTTTGATTTATATACAAGTTTGGAAATCTGATTTATTTTTAAATAGTGAAAACTGATTTTATAAGTTTACATGTTCTGATAAAAAGTTTTAAAATTTCCGCTATAATTATAGTGGGTCGCTCCGGTGGCCATAATGTGTCTTCTCGGATCGGATCGGGTTACCCGCATCGGTCTGTGGGGGTTACAATTACAAGGGTAAAGTTGTAAACTACTAACTTTATGGTTTAATTTCAGCCCTTGGATGATAAATTTGATATGTGTCATGATTAGGATCATTAGATTTGAAGGTCATAACAGTCATTTTGGATTAAAATAAATTTTAAATTCATTTACGTTAAAAATCCAAAAATACTAAAATTAAAAAAAAAATCAATTCAAGAAAGATCTTGAATTTGCTGCTGCCGTGGTTAAAAAAACAAAGGTAATTTTTTTCTTTTGATTTTTAAGCATTTTAAGCTGGATTTAAGGTTAAGACGTGCAATCCAATTTTGTTCTCCATTGAATTATTTTTCATTTGGTACCATTTGTTCAAGTTGTTCATGCTTATAACCCTAAATTTATGAAAATGGTGGATGAAGGGATGATGAAATTTGATGTTTCAAGGCTTGAAAATGATGATATAAGTGTTGTGATGTTGATTTCATGTTTCAAGTAATGAAAATCCATCAGTTTTCCTTTAGCGATCCATTTGGAAAAGATGAAAAGTTAAGGGGTTGATGTTTTGAATTGATTTTTATGTTAGATATGATGAGAATATTATGTTTTATACCTTAGCATGTTTATTCAAGCTTGAAAGGAGGAAGAATGGTTGAATCCTAATAGTAACCAAAACGACACTTTAGGAAAAGTTTGGAAATTATATATTCAAAGTTTGAATTTGATGAAGATATGCTATAAAATTACAATACATGTTTAAATTTGTTGTTTGAATCTTGAAAACACCTTGGAATGTGATGGATTATATTAGGACATATGGGTTTCTAAGGAAACATTTATAGGAAAATTCAAGTGACTTATTTATAATATTTGTTATCTTTCAATGATTAATTTGATGATTAAATTATTGGATTCAGACTTGAAATGTGAAACTTTTATGATTAGTACTTAAAGCCTAAAAGAGAAAAATAAGGACTTAAAGTGAAATTGTGATTTTAAAGGTAAATTCAAGTAAGTTAAGGTGGAAATGAAGTGTGGGAAACATTTGTAATTACAATGTTCTATTGGAATGAATATTATGAATTTTTCCTACACTATATGCGCATGGGTTAGATAAATTCTAACTTGTGCTTTTGATTATTTGTGTTATATGTTTAATGTATTTATAGACATCAATCAAAACCGAGATTTAATTAACAACAAAGGAAAGGAAAAAGATCGAGCTTAAAGCTTAGTGAGGCTTATATTTTGACTTGTATAAAAAGTGTCGAGGTGAGTGCAATGCATACATAACATGATACATGGATGTTATATACATCATTAGGAAGACTTGCGATGAGTCTACCTTATTTATATTGACATGATATTTATGTCATTAATTATATATTTGACATGTTCTAAATATGTCAAAAGTTAATATAAAATGCATTGATCATTGGTTTATTTATGATATTATATGATGAATGTTATTTCGGGTATGAACTACCCAATGTTGAATTATGTTGAAATACAATACCATGAATGAAATAAATATATAATATATGTCTAAGTAGGTCATCGAGAGATAGTGGTATAGTTGGCATGCCATAGAGTCCAGCAACATGATGTATATTTGATTTAGTACTATAATGTATATAAATGACACTTATGGTGGGCATGATCTTATGTGTATTATGGTGGACACGACCTTATGTGTATTAGAATTTCGGTGCATATTTGACTCGTGTACTCGGGGTTCTCATAGGCTAATATTTAGGCTATAGTTTATTGGTTAATAAATTATAAGCAGATGATTAAGCTTGAGCTTAAGGAATAAATGGCAAGTATTTTGGTAAGAAATTATATACATTGTTTATTTCATGTTAATATGTGTAACATGAAGGTGATACATGTAAAGTGATCATGATGCATTGAGTATTGTTATTTCTTTATATATACATTGAATTGCACTGATTATTATTATTGTCTCACTAAGTGTATACTTAGTCTGTGATGATTTTCACGCATAGGTAAAAAGCAAAAAATTAGAGTAAGGAATATCAAGCATCAAACTCATCAAGAGGTATATCTACAATGTCAGTAATTACATCAATCTGATGTAATTTAAATTTCTAGTTGGCATGTATATAATAATAATTGGTTTCTACTAGTTTAGATATAATTGGTCATAAATTATAAGCTAGTCTTGTTGGTAATGATGGATAATTGTTAAAATAAATAATGAATAGTTTATATTAGTGTTTGTAATTCTTAAATGAATTACAAGTTTAATAATTTGATAAACAATAGAATAAAATGGAGCTACTGATTAAGGTTGAATATAAGAAATTTTTTAGTAGCTATTAGTTGTATACTGCTAAGTTGCTACCTGAAATTGGATTTAGTTTGGTTAATTAAAAACTATGAATTATTGTTACTTGATAAATCAATAAATAGTTTAAATTTAAATGTTATAAAATTAGTTTGTGACATTCTTACTCGTATTTGGAAATTAAATTCGGGTAAGGATTTTACAAATGGTGTTAATTGATGTCGTGTACTCGTGTACGCGTAATTTTAATGCATAATTTCTTAGATTATATATATAATAAACCGAGGTCTTTTGAATTATACTTGAATAAAATTTTAAGTGGAATATCATATCAAATGAATTTTTATTTGAAATTTCACAATCAAATAAGTTTTTATTTGACATCGATTTATTATATAAACCTATTTTGCCCCTGAACTTGACATCATGTAGTAGGTACAATTGGGTCCTCTATTTTTTTTATTTGACCCATGAACTAAATCTTATGTATTAGTTAACACATGAACTTGAACACATTCATCAATATAAAAACTTAAAATTAAATTAAATCTTTGTATTAATATATGATTATTGGAAACAAAAGAATAATCCATTTCAGTATTTCAGATATAAAGTATGAATGGAGAAAGAATCAGAATATGCAGTAACTTATTCAGAGATGGGCATCCCTTCTAATGTTTCACACTAGTAAATCAACAAGAACCTCAATTACAATCTGACTGAAACACAAACTCAAATAATGGAAGAAGACATGGAAAACAAAACAAAAACAAAAACAAAACCAAGGCATACTTTGCCACAGCCATTACAGAACATAAAACCTAGGTTGCAAAATAATAATCATTAGTAGTCTATATGTGCCCCCGCCTCACACGAGATGCATGATGCATTTTCTGTCTACATCCCGGAATCCGATTTTACATCTCACTCACATACCAAAGGAAAAAATAAATAAATAAAAGAAGCTCTAACTCAAACCTCAAACCTGAACACAAAATCCCTTAAGATCTCTAGCTCTAAATTTTAGTTCTCCAAAACAGGTACTCTAGTTTAGCTCTAGATAACCAACTTTGTTTTGACTGAAACATATTAATGAGGGAAATGTGCAAAAATTCACAGATCACCTGCCTCACAAGATTATCTTCACCTACAATATTTGCAATAACCAAAAGGATCTTCTAGGTAGCAATTCCTGGAACCAATAGAAAATCAAAGAGTGTAAGCATAAAGAAACTAACTCAAGAATGCTGAATTTATAAAAATGTTTTAGAAACGACGTTGAGAAGCATGTTTTGTTCATTCAAAGGAACAATATAGTATTAGAGCAATTACAAGGGCATCAGAGATTTCAAACTTAAATTATAATGAAACTAACAGTTGTCAGTTGGTGAAGCATATTCATATGAAGGATGCACATCAGAAGACAATCAGCAAATTTATTCCATCAGCAGGCAATCAAATTATGAAAGGCAGAAAAGAGGAATCATGAAAGATAAATCATTAATATAGACTTTGAGCCTATGACCTTTTTCATTAGTCAACAAGCAGATTCTCGAAGAATTTATTCTATCATATGCTACTGTCTTTGCCTCAGGCCATTTAGCATTAAAAGAATTTCTTCTCATTAAAGAAATCCAATTCTAAAATAAAACATGCCACTTTTACAATATTCTGCTTGATTATAGTCCTGGATAAGATTCTCGAGTAGTTTCTTCCATAGATGATCAATAAAGAATGTTCACTTTCTCTTCTTTTCCCTTCTTTTGAATCCAGTGTGTGATTGGATGATAGGAGTGAAATCCTTCAAACCTATAAATCTTCAATTGTTGATGAAAGCCAGAAGTTAAATTTTAGAACACGCCATCCCTGTGCAAGTAGGGTTTAAACTTTGGCTCCTCCAATGATCACCTAAAATATCAATCTACTCATTTAAATTTCCATGCAAAGTAAACTACAGGTTAGCAAATAAGCATTTATGTCCTACTTCAACTAACAACCTAACCATTTTTCATTCTACTTTTGTTGATACAAATTTCACAATCAAGATGTGAAAGGAAGGATGACATGGGAATTCCAGTAAACAAAGATCAATACCAAAGGCTTGTTGGTAAGTTAATTTATTTATCCCTAACCAGACCAGACATTGCTTTTTCAGTAAGCATCGTGAGTCAACATATGAATGACCTTAGAGAAGAGCACCTTGAAGTAGTCAACAGGATTTTAAGGTATTTTGACACCAGGACACAGACTGATTTTCAGGAAGAATGAGAACCGCAAGATAGAAATTTTTTTCTAATGCTAACTGGGTTGGAGAGTTAACCAATACAAGATCCACGAGTGGTTACTGCTCACTTGTCTAGGGAAATTTGATTACACGGAGAAGTAAGAAACACCACATAAGAAACAAAATGTGGTGTCAAGAAGCAGTGCTGGAGAAGAATTTCAAGCACTAGCACTTGGAATTGGTGAAGGAATGTGGATGCAAAGATTGTTGAAAGAATTGGAATTGGACTTTGATGGACAGTTCGGGGTACAAAACGACAACCAATTTACCATCAGCATTGCCAAGAATCCTGTCCATCATTATAGAGCCAAATATGTGAAAATCGATAGGCATTTCATTTCAGAGAAGGTCAATAATGGATCAGTTAAATTAAACTATTTACCTACACAAATAGTTTGCATATATCCTCACCAAGGCCCTTCAAAGAGAAAACTTTGATGAGCTCATATCCAAGATGGGAATCTACAATCTACATACTCACCAGCTTAAGGGGAGTGTAGATTGTAACCAAATAAATTAGAGTTTGATTGTAAATTACTTATAAGAGTTTTATTTATATTTTTTCTTTTTGTACTCTGCATCTTATCTAATTAAGAGATCAGATAAGATAAAATTAGATAGAATATTAATTAGATTAACTTCTAATAGGACTCAAAGTTAGAGTTGTATACCTATTGTAAATCTGCCTATATAAGACCTAACATGTCATTTTCGATGAGAAAAATAAAAGAGAATACATTCTCTTCTCTGGTCCAAATTATCTACAAATCAGGAAAACATAGTGATGTAGGTAGCCCTCTGTAATATCAAGAGAAAATGGGTAGAAGTTCATGATCAATGTCATATCCGAAAATACAATGCTAAACTACACCAATGCAAGGCCAAAATTTATCTCATTTGTTTTCCGTTTCAATTTCTGGCATCCTTCTGCTCTGAGAACTAAATCAATTTTAAGCTTTAAACCCAAAAACACCATGATCAAAAGAAAATATTGTCAAGTGTGCATTAGACCACCAAACACGGTTAATATGGAAGGAAAAATAAAGTTTAAGGGGAAAATACAAGAAGAGAACTCAAAAGCAGATGCTTCATACATAGCTAACCCAAAAAAGGAACAAAACGTCTAAATCAAAAGACTAAAAGCTAAACTATAGAAGGCGGGGCAGAAGAAATATGTCCTTATAAGACGCATAATTCTCTACATAAAAAAATATCTCAGATTGAAGAAGCCTAGTGAAGAGGTTAGTAAATCACAACTACGCTTTAAACCTTAATAAGACTGAAGATGATATATCAAGGAATGAACGATTGATCACAATTCAAGTAATGCTTGGCCTTGAAGATTAGAAAAACATAAGATCACCAATAAGATGCTGAAAACACAATAAATGATGTGGCACAAATTAAGAAGGAAACAAAATAAGTGCATTCGAAACCTTCTGATTGGGGCTTAAACTAGGGAAAAACTAGGTCATAAGCAGCCAAAAGTAACCAATTCAACTTGTATGAGGACAAAATCATTAAAAACAGAAGTGCTAAACAAAACGATAGGTGCAAAATGTTTTATTTTGTTTGTGCTCTTGTTTCTTTATTATATGTATCTTTGTAAAAGTTGAACAATTATTTTCACAGAACATATTGTACCTTAAATCTGTGTGGCATTAATAACTCAACAGAAAACTTCATTAACTACTTTTCTCTTGTTCTCTTAGGTCATTCAAAGATTTATTAAATGCTACTAAATTATACAACCAATTTCAAAAAGGTTATAGAAACTGTCAAATGTAAATAATATACTCATTTCATATAAACCAAATTTAGTTAATAAAAGAATTATATGGATTATATGCAAAAGTTGCCTATCAATCTTGCCAGACATAATTCTTCCAAAACTAGCATGCCTGTCATGCAGCAATTAGGAAATGAAAGATCATACTACAAAGAGGAATGTGTTGCCAAATTTAAGACCTAGCATACAAAATAGATAGTAGAGTCATATGAAAGTTGAAGGTTTTTTCTTTCATTACACTTCAACAGCACTAAAAAAAGATTGTGCTACTAAACTCCTATGAACATCAATAAGAATTCGTAAAAACATTTAACATAAATTTTTCTCAAGAAGAAAATCCTTTACGGGGAGATTTTAGATTCTAAATAAGAAGTCTTACCTCTATTTGATTGTCTCCTATTAACGCTATAACCACCAACATAACCAGGAGAACTTTTACCCTAAGAATCAGAAGTGGCACTACCGAGTACATAACCAAAGGAACCAGAACCATCTCGCTCAGATGTTGAAGATCGCCAAGTGGTATCCCCATAAACTGAAGCACCACCATAAAGATCTGCAAAGGCTCCATCGTAACCACCGTTTGGTGCTGGACACCACATTGGTCCCATTGTTTCTCCCATACCCTGCTGTCCCCAACCCAAAGCTGTTATCACCACTTCCATAGGCAAAATTCACACTATTGCTAGAAACATTATTCCCTCCAACTTGACTGGAAATTGCAGAAGAACCCCAATTAATTCCGCTATTTCCGAAGGAACTTCCTCCCATACTACCACTTCCAGATCCCATAATGCACCAGAACTAGCAGCATTTGTGTTATAGTTAAGCCCCCCATTTCCCCAAAGATTCCGGGTCACTGAGCTGAAAAAGGAAGTATTACCTCCAGTAGCCCCATCAAACCCACTAGGATTACCAAACCTATTTGCATTACCAATATAGTAAGGGCACAAACCTCGTCCATAGTTCATATTAGCACTAAAATTTGCACTATTTGCAAAACTTGGGTTCAAGCCTGGCTCAAAATTCATGCCCATTCCATAACCAGAACCAAAAGGAGGCAGCCCGCTTTGACCACCTGCCACTGGACTGAATCTACCATCCATCCTAAGTCCATAGCCACCAACACTGCTTGGTGTATATCCCTGAGTGTAGCAATCAAGAAAGTCATTAACCCTATTAAGACCATAGTTATGTCCACCAAGAGGGCTACGGCTGGGACAAGGAGAAACTCTTTGGGAACAGCTCGTTTGACCTCGACCATTTTGCCATTCAGTTCATGGAAATTTTTTAGCAAGACTTTATCCACTGCCTCTTCTGAATCATAAGTGATAAATCCGAAACCTCTAGGCCTTTTGGTGTTGTGATCATACATCACTACAACATCTGTGATATTCCCAAACTGATCAAAATACTTCTTAAAGTCGCTCTCTGTGACTGTAGATGCTAAACCACCTACAAAGATCTTTCGTGTGCGACCTGGACCAGGTGAACAATGGATGCTACTAGTGCTTCTACTCATAATGTTCTGATCATCCCTGGGAACTTCCTTTTTTGCCTCCACCTGCGCACAGGTAACTCAATGATGAAAATAAATCTTAAACACCACAAGTTGTTTCAGCACAATATAATGTAATTACACTAAATAAAGAGAATTAAAAACACAACCAATACCAATTGCAAAGAAAAAGATAAAAAGAGGAAGCACGATCACTCTTGGCACAATTTTGAAATTTAGTTGGACTCAGAACTGGAATTTAAGAATTCCTGCAATTACAATATAAGGTTCATAACTCCGATAAAAGGAATCAAATCTACACCTCTTGCTTCAATAAGCTAATAGCATCAATGAATAGTAGATTGCACAACATTAATCTATAAAGTAGTGCTTAAAGATCAAAAACATACCATCCGGCCATCTATTTTGTGTTTCTCCAAGATAACTCTCTCAGCGACAGCCGGGACACAGAAAACAACAAAACCAAAACCACGAGCACGTCCTGTGTCCGGTCCTTCATGATCACTGCCTCTACCACTTCGCCGAAACTACTGAAATACTCCTTGAGACGCTCTTCATCGGTGTCCCAAGATATCCCACCAATAAACAGCTTACCATTCCCAGACATCTTTTTCTACATTAAAGAAAAACTAGTTTTGTCATTACAAAGTCCAAACTATCGGCAAAAGGAAACCAAATACTCACTTTAAGATAAAAGGCAAAATTCATAGCTGAATCCAATGCAAGCCATAAAAAATCCTTTACAACGACAAAGACCAATAAAAAATCAATAGCATAGAATTAAATTAATGATAAAGAATCAAAATAACGTTTTTTTTTTACTAAACCAATCCAATCGGGATAATGCAGATACATTCGATACCTTTTATTCTAACAAAAAAGTGTAATTCGATAATGCAGATCCTTCGACGATCAATCAACCGACCAATCCATAATTTAACTTCAACTGGAATCCAGAAATGAGAAGGCAAAAAACAAAACAAAATAAAATACCCAGATAAATGGTCAATCAGAAGCTGGATATAGCTGCAAATATTTATTGGAAATTTAAGCAAAAGATCGAAAACCCAAATCCAGATTCGTCAAAAAGGAATAAAAACCCACCAATCAAATGAAACCCAAGTACCAAATTTTGCAGAAATCTAAGATCTGAGAAGAGGCACAATTAGAAAAAGAATAGAGGAGGTTAGTTTCATCCTCTTTCTTCTCTTCTATTTTCCTTGCCCCCTTCAAATAACAATATTTTCCTCCTGTCAATGGTGTTCTTTCTTACAAAATAATCTCAATCCTGCTTTCCTTTTACTTTGCAATCCAAAATTCAAATTTAGTATTTATATAAATTTATATTCAATAAATGCAACAAATAAAACCTATAAAAAAAACATAAAAAAAGAGAGATTATAAAGAGGAAAAAAGGAAGCTTTACAAAGACTCATGC